GAAATAAAATATTTGTACTGTACACGAATTTATTTCTTTGAAAAATAGTCTGCAAACGTTTCTTCCACAAATCATGCGTAAGAGAGTATTCCAGAAGACAAGCTTATAAAAAATACATGAAATCGTAAAATTTATACAAAAATAGAAAATCATATAAAATATATATAAACTCATACACCTATATAAAATTTAATTTCCTTCAGCAAAATTAGAAATTATGCGTACGAGCGTATGCCAGAAGAAAAGCTTATAAAAATACTTGAACTTGTAAAGTGTCTATAAAATATAAATTACAAATAAAATATATATGAAATTACACACTTATATAAATTTCAATTTCCTTCAGCAAAATGACAAGATAAAATAATATTCCTCAGCTCTGCGCATGAAAAAATTCCACTTCCACCTAAATGGGAGATTTTTTGTTGTGGCAAACTCGGAATAAAGTTTCCAAGGGAATAAATAAGAGTTATATAACAAAAAATTAAGAAAAATCTTTCGCACGATAAACAAAAAATATTCGATGCACGGTGAAATCATGATTCTTTTACAGATTTCTCATGAAACTAATGAATAAACCGAAAACTCACCCGACATTCGCATCGCAGCAATGAGCAACGATCTCGTCTCTCGTCGTTCCGAACAGCTCCTGCCTCATGTCTTGCAACGCAGTGACCATCTTTTTTTTTTTTTACATTTTTTTTAACGCAAATCGAAACAAAATGAGAACAAATTGTTTTGGAAAATAAATATCAGGATTGAATTGAATGAATATAATTGAAAACTGACTGTTTGAAGAAGAAACCGTTTCTTCGTTAGAAGTACAGTACATTACTGTATATTATACTTTTCTCAAAAAAACGAATACAATAAACTAAAGCGTTTCATTTCGCAGTAATGTTTTATTCTAAATAGAACCGTTCGATGGAAAACGTCCATCAAGAAAGAAAACTTGGCAAAATCACTTGTTTATAGGTACGATATTAGAACGGGACTTGAACTTGACACTAATTCCGAAATTTTGATTCAAATTCTCACGTATTTTCTCTTCTTCCTTCAAATACTGTACCGTACCTTGATTCCTCTTGGATCAGGTTCAATTTTGTCTCGTTGTTTCCTTTATTCAAAGAAAGCGGACCAGCGCTAAATGTGGCAATGTGTGCTGAACCCAAGCTTCCAATGGAGGGGGTGCCCAAGCTTTGCCCGGGCTCAACTCTCCTTAAGAAAGATGCGGTCTAGCGACCGCGCTACGCGTAAGGACTAACCCGCTCCACCGATCGACACCCGGGTTAAAAACTCAACAACTGAGAAACCCCCCCTCAAGTGTCAACGTTGCAGCGCTTTTTTTCCGACTTATTCCTTCCCCCCGGAAAAGATTGGAATAAGCTTGAATCACACCAGGAAGAGTTATTGTCTTGTGTGGACTGTTTAATAAAAACAAAGTTCGAGTCCTAAAAGAATTTCAACCTTACGACGTCTTCAATAAGGTCTGTGAGGTGATAAGGTTGAACAAGGAAGGGGGCCTTGTTAACCCTATGCGAATTTGTTGTTGTCCTTCTAATTAAAAGAGCACACCTGACAACTTTAAGAAGAAAAAATTCAAAGGAAGTTATAATCCTAAAAAAAGTTTATATGCTGCAAAGGTTATTACCATCCATCCTTTGCTTCAACATATTCCTTCCCCCCGGAAAAATTGGGATACACTCAACACATTTCGGAAGACATAAGTCATCCTGTGGACTGTTGGGAAAAACTTATAAGCGAAGGTTGTATCCTAAAAAAAACCTTAGAATCGCGGCAGAAGTCCTCCCTGACCCCCGTTTTTTCCAACTTATTCCTTCCCCAGGAACATTTTGGATAAGCTTAAACCACAACAGAAATATTTATTTCGTTGAGTGAACTGTTGGAAAAATGTCCAAAATTCGAATCTTGAAAAAAAAAAATGGAATGCTACAGATGAGGTTCTCCCCGTCCCTTTTCTGTTCCAACTTATTCTTTCCCCCCGGAAAAATTGGGATTAGCTCTCAGAAACCAAGCAAATATTTTTTATTTTGCGGGCCTTTCATATACAGTATAATGCAAGTTTTAATAACTTAGAAAAAAAAGTTGGAGCGCTGCAGCGGTTTTTCGTCACCCCAGCTTTTGTTCCCACTCCCCCCCCCCCCCCCCCCGGAAGAATTGAAAAGCTTAAACCGGGAGGATGAAAAAAAAATTGTATACGGGCTGTTGAGAAAATTTCTCAATGAAATTCCTAAAATGACAATTGGATGGAGATTTGGTTTTTGATCAGAGTATTCAATGAGGTTACCTACACTCTGGGAACTTTATGATACTCTTGAAACACACCAGCTGAGAATTCTTTCTTAAGCATGATTTTTTTTTTTAATTTTGAGGAAATTCATTAGAAAAGAGTTGGCAGGGTTTTGGGCACTTGATTGGTGGATATACAGTAATAACTTTAGGAAGACATAAGCAAGATTTATTCTCTTACATCCCCTGTCCCTCGGAAACAATTAGACAAGTTAACTTCTTTGAAAGACAATCAGAAAATGAATCCAGGAAAAGTTAACAGATGATTAAATCTGCCGACACGCAGAAATATGATCAATTTTCTGCTCATCTTCGCTTGAATATTCGCATCTCCCTGAAAATTTGCACAAGCTTGACTTCCACCAGAATCTTATCGTACCTTTTTGAAAAATCATTAAAAGGAAAAGATGAAAAAAAAGTACCAAAGCATCACTCAGATAAAATATTTTCTCAAGCCTTCTCTGGTGTCTTCGTGGGCGTCGTTTCGTCAACTGATCGTGAAAAACTAACAACGTTTCCCTTTCCTGGGAAAAGTTCGATTTGTTTATGGCATTTTATTCCTCAGCAGAAAATTAAAAAAAAATTATGCATTGCAGAAGACGTTTCAAGCCTTCAAAGGAACCCTTTTCTGGTGACTTCGTGGGTGTTTTTCCTGTCAAGAAGAAAAGAACCAACAATCTTTTGCCGTCTTCCCATATTCGAACATTAAATGTCCCCGGAAACCTTGGAACAAGCTTGATTTACTCGACGGGCAGTTGGACACATAACTAAAATAGCTTCATACAGTAAATTTCGAAGAATCCCTTCATGAGTTTATGGCGTTTACTTGGACGAGTCAATTTCGTGGCAAAATGGAAAGAATTAGCAACGTTTTCTGAAGTCGTCTTTGTTTGAAACTTCACCTCCCACTTTCGAGACGATCTCAATTCATGTTTCCTGAAGTTTTTTCTTACCCCGGAAACATTGGGACACACTTGATTTCCATAAGCAGAACAAAATGCATTTACAGTATCATGCACAGTTCAAAGACTTGAGAGTCATGGGATGTGAATGCGTTTCATGTAACCTTTCAGGGTTTTATGTGAGGTTTTTTTTTTTTTTACTAAAATCATGAAAATAAAACGTCCTTAATTTACTTAAAACTCAAAAACTGTTGGAAATCTTTCATAAATTGCTTCTTTCCAGGAGACTCTTGTCCCTTTACCAAATTTGTTTTGAAATGTTATTTTCAAGATCCCTAAAAATTTTTCGTAACGCCAATCTTCCCCAGGAAATGTTGGGACAAGCTTGATTTTTAAATGAAACTCAACATTTCCTCACTTGTCTCAACATTTCCTGGGGAAGATTGGCGTTACCGAAATTTTTCAGGGATCTTGAAAATAACATTTCAAAAACATTTTCCCCAGGAAATGTTGGGACAAGCTTTATTTTTAAATAAAACTCAACATTTCCTCACTTGTCTCAACATTTCATGGGGAAGATTGGCGTTACCAACATTTTTCAGTAATCTTGATATTTAAATATCAAGCTTGTCCCAGAAAAAGTTCCCCCATGGGCAGGAAAAATGCCTGAGAAACATTAAATGCATTTTATGAAACTTTTGAGCATGTTCTTTCCTGAAACAAGTTGAAGAAAACTATCCACCTCCAATTCCAAATTATTTCAATATATCCGGAAATTCTTGGGGATCGTTCAAAACTTGATTTCTTCCAGAAAGTGTTCCTTGAAAAAAAAAAATTTTGTCTTCGAAATGGGCTCTTCAAGGTCTCTTCCAAGATTTTCGAGCACTTCTTTCATAAGCGAATTTCTCATTCGTCATTCGCGGTATGAAAAGAACGTTAACCAAGTTGAGCCTTGCATTGAGGCAAGAATTCACTTATTCCAGACAAAAGGAAGAGCTTCTCGTTTAACGAGTCTTACAAAAGAAAGACGTCAAAATCTTCGCTCGATTATCGGGGCCAGACAAAAGGAATGAAAAAAAAATGCAATCCCGTAAAATTTTCGAACATACAAATGAACCCACGAACGAGGCATGAAATGCTCCCCCATCGTTTTGCTACAATACAGCTCTTTTCATCCTTTTGATTTTTACGATGACGATTAAAGTTGGAATGCTGCAGAAGTTATTCCAGACACTCCACTATTCCAACTTGTTCCTTCCCCCGGAACAATTGGGATACGCTTAAACAACAACAGGAAGATTAATTTTCTCGTGTGGACTGTTGAAATGAAAAAAAAATCCAAGGGAAAGTTCTAATCCTAAAAAAACGTTTATATGCTGCAAAGGTTGTTACCATTCATCCTCTGCTTCAACATGTTCCTCCCCCCCCCCCCCCCGGAAAATTTGGGATACATACAATACATTTCAGGAAGACATAATTCATCCTGTGGACTGTTGGGAAAAACTTATAAGCAAAGTTTGTATCCTAAAAAAAACCTTAGAATTGCTGCAGAAGTCCTCCCTGCCCCCCTTTTTTCAACTTATTCCTTCCCCAGGAACATTTGGGATAAGCTTAAACAGCAACAGAAATATTCTTTTTGTTGAGTGAACTGTTGGAAAAATGTTTAAAATTCGAATCTTGAAAAAAAAAATGGAATGCTACAGATGAGGTTCTCCCCGTTCCTCTTCTGTTCCAAGCTTCCAACTTATTCCTTCCCTCCGGAAATATTGGGATTACCTCTAAACACACCAAAAAAATCTTTTTTCTTTTTTTCTTTTGCAGGCCTTTCATATATAATGCAAGTTTGAATAACTTTAAAAAAAATTAAAGCGCTGCAGCGGTTTTTCCCCACCTCAGCTTTTGTTCCAACTCATCCCCCCCCCCGGAAAAGTTGAAAAGCTTAAAACAAGAGGATGAAAACAAATTGTACACGGGCTGTTGAGAAAATTTCTTGATGAAATAACAATTGGCTGGAGATATGGGTTTTGATCAGATTATTCAATGAGATTACCTACACTCCAGGAACTTTATGATACGCTTGAAACACACCAGCTGAGAATTCTTATTTAACCCTGAGTTTTATTTTAATGCTGAGGAAATTCATTAGGAAAGAGTTGGCAGGGTTTTGGGCACTTGATTGGTGGATATACAGTAATAACTTTAGGAAGACATAAGCAAGATTTACTCTCTTACATGCCCTGTCCCTCGGAAACAATTAAACGAGTTAACTTCTTTGAAAGACAGTCAGCAAATTAATCCAGGAAAATTTAATACAAGATTGAATCTGCCGACACGCAGAAATACGATCAATTTTCTGCTCATCTTCGCTTGAATATTCGCATCTCCCTGAAAATTTGCACAAGCTTGACTTCCACCAGAATCTTATCGTACCTTTTTGAAGAATCATTAAAAGGAAAAAAAAGTACCAAAGCATCACTCAGATACAATATTTTCTCAAGCCTTTCGACCACAGAAGCACCCGCAGCAAAGCAGTTGACTAGCACTTTTTGATTGTTGCAAAGGGAAAGGACCCTTTTCAAGCTAAACAAATACCGTAAAATAAGGAGTCGTCTTTTAATTTTTTTTTAATACCATTGCAGAAGACGTTTCAAGCCTTCAAAGGAACCCTTTTCTGGTGACTTCGTGGGTGTTTTTCCTGTCAAGAAGAAAAGAACCAACAATCTTTTGCCGTCTTCCCATATTCGAACATTAAATGTATGCATTGCAGAAGACGTTTCAAGCCTTCAAAGGAACCCTTTTCTGGTGACTTCGTGGGTGTTTTTCCTGTCAAGAAGAAAAGAACCAACAATCTTTTGCCGTCTTCCCATATTCGAACATTAAATGCCCCCGGAAACCTTGGAACAAGCTTGATTTACTCGACGGGCAGTTGGACACATAACTAAAATAGCTTCATTCAGTAAATTTCGAAAAATCCCTTCATGAGTTTATGGCGTTTACGTGGACGAGTCAATTTCTTGGCAAAATGGAAAGAATTAGCAACGTTTTCTGAAGTCGTCTTTGTTTGAAACTTCCCCTCCCACTTTGGAGACGATCTCAATTCATGTTTCCTGGAGTTTTTTCTTACCCCGGAAACATTGGGACACACTTGATTTCCATCAGCAAAACAAATTGCATTTACAGTATTATGGACAGTTAAAAGACTTGAGAGTCATGGGATGTGAATGCGTTTCATGTAACCCTTTCAAGATTTTATGTGAGTTTTTTTTTTATACTAAAATCATAAAAATAAAACGTCCTTAATTTATTTTAAACCCAAAAACTGTTGGAAATCTTTCATGAATTGCTTCTTTCAAGGAGACTCTTGTCCCTTTACCAAAAATTTTTTGAAATCTTATTTTCAAGATCCCTGAAAAAGTTTGGTAGCGCCAATCTTCCCCAGGAAATGTTGAGACCAGCTTTATTTAAAAATCAAGCTTGTCCCAACATTTCCCGGGGAAGATTGGCGTTACCAACATTTTTCAGAGATCTTGATATTTAAATATCAAGCTTGTCCCAGAAAAATTTCCCCCATGGGCAGGAAAAAGGCCTGAGAAACATTAAATGCATTTTATGAAACTTTTGAGCATGTTCTTTCCTGATACAAGTTGAAGAAAACTATCCACCTAATTATTTTAAAATGCCCGAAAATTCTTGGGGATCTTCAAAACTTGATTTCTTCCAGAAAATGTTCCTTGAAAAAAAAAAGAAGAAATTTTGTCTTCGAAATGGGCTCTTCAAGGTCTCTTCCAAGATTTTTGAGCACTTCTTTCATAAGCGAATTTCTCATTCGTCATTCGCGGTATGAAAAGAACGTTAACCAAGTTGAGCCTTGCATTGAGGCAAGAATTCACTTATTCCAGACAAAAGGAAGAGCTTCTCGTTCAACGAGTCTTACAAAAGAAAGACGTCAAAATCTTCGCTCGATTATCGGGGCCAGACAAAAGGAATGAAAAAAAAAATGCAATCCCGTAAAATTTTCGAACATACAAATGAACCCACGAACGAGGCATGAAATGCTCCCCCATCGTTTTGCTACAATACAGCTCTTTTCATCCTTTTGATTTTTACGATGACGATGCGTCCAAAGAATCGATGAATGCGGATTAATTAAAGAAATAAAAAAGAATAAATGAGAGAGAGAGGAATGAATTAACACACGAAGAAACGCGTTCCAATGACTACAATCGCGCAATTGTATTGTCCGTAGCAAATTGTTTTAAAATTCTTCCCTTTCCATGAGATACAAAGAAAATATCAGAGGAACTGTGGTTGGATTGATTCCCTTTTCCGATCATTTCCAACAAATATAATGGAATTTCTCAAAAGGTTGGAAACATTTCTTGAACATGAACTTACTTCAAGAAGTCGCACGAAAAGGCAAATGAAGTACAGTAATTTTTTTTTATTAACATTTTCTAACGGTGCAGCATTGCCGAATAATAACATTTTTTTCGGATGACTTGAGGTTGACTTGATTCTCTTTCCACTGTTATTCCCGAAAAATTTTCAAAATGTCTGCAACATATCTTAAAAACATACCTACTGTACTTCAAAAAGTCGCAGAAAAAATCAACTCCAGCAATTTGCTTCTCGCAAAATATTCCTCATTTCCGAATACAGTGAGACCTCCAGATGCAGATGTAATTGTTGAATCAAGAGTGTCCCCAAGTTGGATTGTCCCAAAGTCAAGTCTTGTTTTCCCATAGACTTGAATGATATAATTTCTAATTGGTGTTTTATGGAAGAAATATTCTTCAGAATTCCCGGAAAAAAATTGTTTGCCACTTGAATTTGAATTAGTGAATACAGTTTCAACTCAATAAGAACATTAGGAGCATTGAATAGTGTATCTCTGTACTGTACATTTAAATGTTGGTATCTACAAAAATAACATTGAAGTCACAAAGAGAGAAGGAAGTCCCTTTATGTGATAGGTAATTTCTTTAATCAGCTGAATGGATGGGAAAATGACAAAGAATGTTTCTTGCATAAATCTAAGGTTTAGAAATATCTGTTTATATATCTATATAAAAGCCAAATAAATGTCGATTTTTGTGAAATTTATTGGCAATTTTATCATGCAATGTCCTCATGTAGAGTCATTGTCCATATGTCAGGCCTTTTTTATGCCCTTTTTATTGATAAATAAATGTCCCCATGTCGAATTGTCCGCGTGTGGGGGTCTAAGTATATTAAATGAAAAAAAATCATCAGACGACTTGGGCTTGATTTGATTCGCTTTTTGCTGCTATCCCCAAAAATGAAGGAATTTCTAAAAGGCTTGCATGATTTGCTTGAAAAAGTCGCATGGAAAACAGTTGAAGCATCCCGAGTAATAAAAAAATATGATTTTCTATTTCAAGCATTGGACGCAACTAAAGAACAAAGGATACAAAATTAAGTTACGACCAGCTACCCGAGAAAACGAACCCGAGGAAAATGTCTCTCGAGACAAAAAAAATAACAAGAAATGGTAAATTTCAACATACTGTACTTCACCAAAAATATTGTTCGATACGTCGTTCACTGGAAACTATTTAAAAGCAAAGAATAACCAGTAGAATCTCCTAAAAAAACAACAACGAATTCACTTTTAGGTTTCTAGCCAATGGCTGCGATGCCATTTGAGTTCGCTTATTCCGAATCTTCCTTTTTTAATGCAGCTATTTCACCAACGGCTTCGTTGTAACGAGATTTTACTGTACAAGGAAAAATAAATGTCCGCAAAATAAATCGCCCCCCCACCCCCTAGGAAAAGGGTCCTTGCGAAAAGAAAAGTGCGACATAAATTTCAACACTGCACAAGAAAATACAGTTTTTTGTTCCTGACCAAAATTCTCAGCGTTTCACATTTTTAAAAAGCGCATTAAAATCTGAGCAGTCTTAAAAATACGTTCTGGCGCCATGAAACAATCTTGGCAAGGAGAAACAATATCGAAAAACTGTATCGATGTAAGCCGATCTAGAGACAACAGTCAAGAAAACAACCCAGGAGAGAAAATTGCTCCGGAGGAAAGGTTGCAAGAAAAAAATGATCGCGAGGAAAAACCAAAGTGAACAATTTAAAAAAAATCGACAAAAAATCACGCGAAAAAACGAATCACAGGAAAATGGTTACTACATACGTTTCAATACATTTTGGAGCAAGGCCAGCAATCGAAAATAAAATTATTACAATGTCTGAAGCTAGAATTGAAATGAGTCAAAATTTTTGTCGGGACTCGGTTTGAATTCCCCAAGGGCAGTTTATGGCTAGAAAATGCATTATACAAAAATAAAGACATTTTCTCAATGCCAGCATTTTTTCCTGACCCCTTCACATTTTGTCAAAGATAAATTACAGTGAGACACCAAGATGCGGACATAATTGGTGCATCAAGAGTGTCCCCAAGTTGAGTCTCATTTTCCCTTAGACTTACATTATATAATTTTTAATCGGTGTTTTATGTACAAAATACTCACCATAATTCCATGAAAGAAAAAATTTTCTCCCAATTTAAACTGATTCCAATCAATTTATTTCAAAACAATATGCGCATTTGGGGAATTTAATACTGACACCTCTGTACAGTACATAGGAATGTTGGCACTCACTGTTAAAACAAACATTCAAGTGAAAAAGAGAAGGAAGTCCCTCTCTGCTGGAGGTAATTTTTTTTATTAGCAAAATGGATGGTAAATGGGTGAGAGAAAAGGCAAAGAACATTTCTTACATAAATTTTGGGGCTGGAAAAATCTGTTTCTTGTAATTTGGCCTGAAATGTATTCGCAATTTTATAACAAAATGTCCCTATTCCGAGTCAGTGTCCTCATGTCGGGTCATTTTTATGAATATTTTATGATAAAATAAGTGTCCCTATGTCGAATTGTCCGTAGGTCGAGGTGTCCGCATGTGGGTTGTAATTCTCAGAAACTCTCTTCCCAACTCGTATGTAAAATTATCGCGAGGAAAAATCAAAGTGAATGATACGAAAAAAGCAAAAATTTCTCGGAAAAGGAATTCACAAGAAAATCGTTGCACCATAGCTTTCGAGATATTTTCGAGTAAGGACAGTAACTGAAAAGAAGCATTACAATGTCTGAGCTAGGATTGATTTCATATTTTTCAACAATTTCGCTTGAGATTGCCTTGAATTTTCTCCAGAAAAGTAAAAAAAATACACATTCTCTATACTCCGAAGTTCTCTCCATGCCGGCAATTTTTTTACCTGACCCCTTCATATTCTGTCCAAGATAAACTTATTCTCAGAAATTCTCTTCACAACTCGCACGTAAAAGGATTGCAAGGAAAAATCGCGGTGGATGATGAAAAAAATAAAGGCAACAATTACTTGGAAAAATGAATCTCAGGAAAATCGTTACAACATAACTTTGAATGCATTTCGAAGCAAGGCCAGATATTTAAAAAAAAGCATTACAATGTCTGAGCTCAGATTGATTTCACGCGTCGAAAAGTTTGTTGGAATACTTGATTTGAATTTCCTCCAGGGTAGTCTATACTGCAAGAAAATACAACAATGTCTCCATTTCAACGTTTTCTCTCACATCATTTTTAAAAAAATTTTTGAGCTAAAACCGACTTCACGTGACAAACATTTTCATAGGACTTGTTTTGAATTACCCTCGGCAATACGCAAAAATGCAAAATTGTCTCAACTCCGATTTCCCCCGAATCCTTCGTTTCCGCCTAAAAAAAATTATCATCAACAATGCACAAGTGTCTGGAAAAAATAAATGATTGACAATGCATCAAAAAATCACCCGACCTCAAACAAAATTGTTGATCTCTTTTCAGCGTGACCCGGAAGAAAAACATAACTTTCTATTCCTCGCATCAATGTAATTTATACCCGAAGAAAATTACTCCTCGAGAGATCAGTGAATGTCAAAAGCCTTCGTATAATTTATCTCACCAATTTCGAGCCGTAACGAGAATCGCGTGAACATAACATTCGACGCACAATCGCTTCAAAACAATTCACGTGTCAATTCGATGTCCTTCGGTTCGGGACACAAAATTCATGACATTTGTTGTCGGAATTTATAAATGTACCAGGGGCTTCTCTAAAGAATACGTCAAATCTTCGATCAAATCCGTCATGAGAAAAAATACAGTGGGGTCCCGAGATTCAAGGCTCAATTGTCCGTAAGTCGGAATTTCAGCAATTTCAGATCACGTTTTGCCTAATGACTTCAATGGGAAACTATAATTGGTTCTTCTGTTCATCAAAAGTTGGGGAAAAAACTCCCACGGAATGTTGAATGACATTTTTTTTTCCATTTTGATACACAGCAAATACGTAACTGCGCAGAAGAAAACCGTACAGAATCTAATCTTTTTGCACGACAAGCACGAGTCTTGCTGGAAAAACTCCACAGAAGCACAAAATTAGTCTGTTTTTGATCAAGAATTAGATTCACACGCTCGAGAGGAGAAGAAGTTGTTGGTTGCAAAAGGCAAACAAATTGACAAAATATTGTGTCGTTCGTTTCGCAACTCAATGCTCCGAGAATAAATCCGCTAGAAAAATCTCACGTGAATAATTCGCACACAGGAGAAATCAAATCGAATATAATTTCTTTGGCATTAGTTTTCTCCGCACTTTTCATCCGTTATTCAACCTTTTCAGGTGTTCAATCACTCATAATAAATCGACGTTTTTATAACTGGTTTCCAAGAAGGGAATGGCAGTAGAATCCAGGAATTTTTCAATCTTTGTATAGCTTAGCTTGGCTCAGTGTTCCCCAACCAGTGGCCCGCAGAAGTTTTTTGCCAGTCCGCTGAAAATTTTCTTCGGCATAAACAAAAATTATCAAAACCAGCAATGAAGTCTGTTAACTTCATCTGAAATTTTGGAAAGAGCAGTTGAAGTTTCCCAATGTAAAATAAAAGTCAGCTTTGCCTGAAAGAATATTTCAGACAAAATTTCCACCTGCAGAAATAAAATAATAAATTGCATTTAATTTTTCATTCCAAGAAAACTTTCCTCAAGCCCACCTTCTTAATTCCACTATGGCTGCTTCTTTGGTTCTGAATTTTTTTTTTTAATAGAGCGGCATTAAAAAAAACCTGCTATGAGGTCTTTCAAACAAAACTTTTCGTGAGTCTGCAAAAATTTCATGAAAAGTTGCCAGTCCACAGAAATTTTTGGGATAACTGCCGGTGCGCAAAAAAGCTTGGGGAACACTGTTACTAGCTGTCTTGATAAAAGATACGTTGCACGATTCCCCAGCGCAAGTTGTGTCCCAGAAATCCCTCCAAACTTCCGATCAGGCCCCAAGTACTGTATTTTACCCACCCACACACACACACACATATACATACATACACACTTGCAGAATATCATAAACGTGAGGAATATTATATTTTTCTTTTGAGAGAGTGAGAGACTCACCTGTTCACACGCTTGTCCTTGACTCTCGACGCCGCCGCGGGTTTCGGGGAAACGTCGTGATCCGAGGCATTCACGCAGCCAACATCGCCACCGTGACTCGTGTCACCTCCCTCGTCATCTCCAATCATGCCACTGTCTGGATTCCGCAAAATAAAAGAATAAAAAAGAATCGATCAATCAATCAGTCAATCAATGCTGTACGACACACACACAAAAAGAAAAGCACCTCTCCTCTTTCTTTCCACTTCAGTACTCCCGGAATTATCCCGAAACCCCGACCGCAAATCAACCAACCAACCAGTGGATCGGACTCTCGAAAAGCAACGAAGTCTTCGACCATGGATTTAGTAAGAATAAAAAAAAATGAATAAATGACGCAAAAAAAAAATTTGACGTAGCAGGTCGTTTCGACAAGATTGGAATAAAAGTGAATTGATCGTCTCGCGTAGTACAGACTATGTGAAGGCAAAGAATTGCTGGCTCACACTTACGAAAGTGTGTACCGAACCTTGAGCACACGTGCCCAAGACAAAAGAAGAGGAACATTTCCATAAAACGTTTTATTTCGTAGTTGCTGCAAATTTTTTTTTTTTAGCTCAATAGAATTTTACAAACGCATTCTGCTCCTCTTCTTCTGTTCACTGAAACTCATGTGACGATGGATTTTCGCGTGGAGTGAAGATTTGGTGAAGAGTAAAATTATTATTGTTATTACTGTATTATTATTATTATTATCATTATTTATTATTAATATTATTACCATTGGTTATCATTATTATCATTATTTATTTTTGTTATTACAGTATTTATTTTTATTATCATTATTTATTATTATCGTTATTTATTATTATCATTTATTATTATCATTATTTATTATTATCATTATTTATCATCATCATTATTTACTATTATTATTTATTATCATCGTCATTATTATTATTATTATTATTATTAGAGTAGTATTATTCGTGCGAATCCTAGATTTGTCATGCACAGAATTAAAATTCCAATTACGTATATGCAAATACAGTCAAACCAAAATAAGCCGCCACCACTTGTTCGCGGCTGCTTAAAGGGGGTTGGTGGTTTATCGAAAAGTTATAATATGAAAATCAGGCGTGATACGGAATAAAATTCTTATTCTTTTTCTAGAAAACAATAAAATTAGCTGTGGGATGCGTAAATTATGCCTAACTCATGTTCCCAAGAAGTAAATGTCATCTTTGCGCTAGTTTTTATTTATTTTTTTTCAATTGGGGACCAATTATAGAAAATTGAATCTTGTTGGCGGGCTATTGAAGAAACTATTGACAGGAGCATATCTGAGCTGTCGATAATTTTGACGAATGCCGTTTTAACGGAGGTTTCTAATGCCATAATCTTCCGGGAAAAACGTGTCTGAAAATAAATTGGCGGTTGTCAAGGGTGGCGGATTATCGGGATATCTTGTCAGGGTTTGGACTGCATAAGCATCACCCACTGACTTTTTCTGGTGTTCTGACTTCCAAGGAACCTAAAAATTCTGACTAAATCCAAGTTTTCACTAGAAAAGTAAACAGAGACACGAAGTTGCCAGCCATTTGAGAAAATATGGATTATCAAAAATGTGTGAGTGGAATATTGCGCAAACGTTCCATCTCGCAAAAATTCATGACAGTTATTTTCTTTGGAGAATTTTACCAAGAGCTAAAAAAAAAAATACCGCACGAAGATCAGATCACGTTAGAAATTCCCAGCGACTACCTGGACGCAATTTCAAAAATTTCGACTGCAATTCATACGGAAATCACAAAGACTCATGAATCCTAGAAAAAAAAATACACACTTGAACAGTTTGAAGCCAATCGAGGAAACTGTGAAAAATAAAACAAGGCCACTACCGAGAGCTGAGTGTCACTTGGCGATCATCAGATTAAATTTGACATTCTCAATGAGTTTCCCGACGCAATTTCGAAAATTTCTACTACTGGAATTTCTGAAATCACGCACACACTCAAAGATTCCAAACGAAGACACACACTTGACCAGTTGCGAGCCTATTGAGAAACTGGGGATATTCAAAAAGGCAACTGCATGCATCCATCCATTCATTCATTCATTCCTTCCTTCTTTCAGTCAAGTCAGTCGACCCAAGAAACCGGTTTCTTTTCCTCAAGTAAAACCTTCGCTCGATTCATTCACCAAGCCTCATTCTCGAGTGACACGTTCGGGTAAGGCAGTGACTGATGAACCCATCAAAAAGAGCCCAGGAATCACTGGCCTCTTCTTTATTTCGGGATCCCGATATCAAATCTTGACAAAAGTCGCCGGACGCGATAAAAATCTCGACAGGCGAGAGATAAGGGGATCTCGCCTCGGGGGAAATGGACACCGAATTGCATCTTTCATCAGATGAGCACTGCTATATATATATATATTACATATATATATACGGTTATGGGATACCTGCTTCCATTTCACTCATTGCACACGTTTCTCCCGATCATCGGAGACCGTCGACATCAAGCTTCGCGGAAACGCTTTCTTGACAATTACAAGTCTCGAGCTCAATTATAACCTTTTCACAATACATCTCGAATTTATTTTCAGGCTAAGGGAAGTCTCCGCACACCGAAAAAAAATTTCAAGCCATCGTGAAGCGCGAAAATTTGGACTTGATCAAGAACTGCTCTGCTGAACTTGGAAAACTTCCCGTTGAAGTAATATGTTCTTTGCACAGTGCAGTGAGTCTCCGTACAGCAAAAGATCCACGCGATGAAAATTTTCGGGGGGGGGGGGGAGGGGAAATGACTCATATTACGAAATTACTAAAAAAAATTGGTTCGAAAAAATGCTAAAATTGCAACAATTATTAAACTAAAAATTACGAACAGTATATTCCATTTGTAGATAAGAAAGGAAAAGCATGATTGTTGCATATCTTAGTTTTTAAATTTTGAAAAATTCAGGAAGTTATGAGCAAGAGTTTTGCAAGGATTAATTTACTTTCATGGAAAAAATATTAAAGTTATAATTTCAGCTGAATACTATGGTCTTTTGGGGAGTGACTGGAATCAATGAAATGACGTACAATTCACTCTTCAGGGAAAGCGCGTTTCACATAACAAAAATTCAACAAAAAACAACTTTCTTTAAATCATGGGAGGCCTTTTCCCACTTTTTTTTTTTGCCAAGCCTGAGGAGCGATTGAAAATAATATTCCCAATGAATTCTGGATCAAAATGTGATTCAACCTGCATCAATTTCAACATTTGGACACATTCTCATTAATAATTATGTCTGCATTCCAGGGCCCCACTGTATCTCTTCAAATCTTGTAAGGAAACTCATTTTCAAGATGCCTTCATGAACTCTTCTCTCATACTCAGTGACGCGCTCTTCAGTTATCCATTAGCTTACTCCTCTTCAGATCCTTTTCATCTTTCTGATGCTCACTATGTTTACTAAAAATTTGTTTGCATCATGTAATTCAAATAGGATTAGTAGGAATAAATGACTCATTTCAAGAAATTACTCAAAAAAAAAAATAAATTGGTTCGAAAAAAATGCGAAAATTGCAACAATTATTGAACTGAAAATTACGTACAGTATTTTCCATTAGAAAAGAAGAAAAGAAAAGCATGATTGTTGCATATCCTTGCTTTTAAATTTCGAGAAATTCACTTATTTATGAGCAAGAGTTTTGCAAGGATTACTTTACTTTCATGGAAAAACTATTAAAGTTATAATTTCAGCTGAATACTATGGTCTTTTGGTGAGTGACTGGAATCAATGAAATAAAGTACAATTCACTCTTCAGGGAAAGCGCCGCGCGTTTCACACAACGAAAATTCAACAAAAAACAACTTTCTTCAAATCATGGGAGGCCTTTTTCCAGTTTTTTTTTTTTTTGCCAAGCCTGAGAAATGATTGAAAATACTGTACATTATTCCCAATGAAGTCAGGATCAAAATGTGATTCACCCTGCAACAATTTCAACATTTGGACACAGTCTCATGAGTAATAATGTCTGCATTCCTGGGCCCCACTGTATTTCTGCAAATCTTGTAAGGAATCTCATTTTCCAGATGCCTTCATGAACTCTTCTCTCACACTCAGTGACGCGCTCTTCAGTTATCCATTAGCTTACTCCTCTTCAGATCCTTTTCATCTTTCTGATGCTCACTATGTTTACTAAAAATTTGTTTGCATCATGTAATTCAAATAGGATTAGTAGGAAATATACATAAAACTTTCATTTTTTACAATGAAGCAAGCGGAACCAGTAAAATAGCTTCGGTGTAATAAATAATTCGTTCTAAAGCGACTCATTTAAAATAGGAAACAAAAACTTACTTCGTTGTAAAAAATTATTTGTTATAACGAGATTCAGAAAGGCTTACAGGTAGAATCTCAATGAATTCCACGGGCCAAGATGAGAATTTCCTGTAGAGAACCACTGTGGGACCAAACAACAAAAATCGTTATACAGAGATAATGGTAGTAAGAGAGTCTAACTGTACCTAGAACATAAAGAATTCAGCAACTCACCGATCTTCGATGGAGGAGTAATTTTGTGAGCCCGCGCAGTTCGTATTTTGCTTCTCCTCGAGCATTTTTCAAAATCATTGTCAATGTCATCTTGGCTCACAGAGCTCGACGCCATCTCGACTATCAACAATTGATCACAAAAAATGCCCGAACACGATTCACGTCACGAATACTTATTCAGAAGCTCACGGCATACTGAAAAATAAATTAAAATTCAACTTTGAAAACTTACCATATTGACTATCGACGAGTCGACATACTACGACTCGATTTCTTCCACAACATATTTAATATCACAAACTGTTCGCAGGTGCAGAATAAAATAGTCTCGGCTTCCAAAGGAAAAAACGGGCCGCGACTGAACAATAAATACTGAACAATAACTTCGAAAGCAAAAGTGGGAATGTCAACAAAAAGCATAACAGAGACGACGAAAAATTCTGTTAAAATGCACCCAAGGATGGCCACTCGATGCCATCGACTGAATATCCAGGCGGAAAAATCTTCGAACGTTGGAAAAAAGCTAAAGCTCGTCCACATCCGGAAGCACAAAAAAAGATACATAATCAATCAAATGGCGTTGACCGTCATCAAGATGATCGATCAACATTTTTTGTTTTGTTTTCAAGCGGTTTTAACCGCGTCCTCCGAGCTTCTCCAGAATTTTCATACCCTTCTCTAAATAGTCTTTTCTCGAAAGCCAAAAGTCGTCTCTATTCTTCATGACATTCGCTAGAACAGCTCCTCCGTTGAAAACCATGTCTTTTCGATGCGGAGGATCTTCGATCCTGATCTTAAATTTTGCAAGTTTCTCCACGTCGCCCTTCAAAACTCGTTCCACATACAGTTGCTTCAATTCTCGCTCCAGTCTTGAAGGTAGGCCAGGATACATAGTAGAGCCACCGGACAGCACTATGTGCTTAAAAAGCTCACTCCTGCATAAAAAAAAAAAACGAACATGAATCCATCAATCAGCAAAAAAAAAAATCATAATACAGTTAAAAATATTGCACACAGCCGAGGGTTTATTATTCCCTGATACAGTTGAAACTCAATACCTACGTCATTTTTTTTTCTTCGAGTCCCTGTCTGGATTCCCTTAGACACAATGCATTAAAAACCTCCGTAACTAAAAAGTGCCCACCTCAAACAATCGAATTTCCTGGAGCCCCTTTGATTATTATTTTATTGACACGGGAAAGAGAAAAACAATAAAAATGTAGCATGATGAATGAAAAAAACAAAAAGGAAATGAAAGAGCAATTCGGGAAATGAACCCTTGCCTCCAAGTTCAGCAGCCTGCAAACTTATTCAAGAAACAATTTGATCCCTAGCATATCACCAATTAAAATTTCCTGTAATCCTTCTTCCTTTCCGCCAGCAAAAATTTCTCGTTTCTCTCAATCAAGAACCTTTCTAATTCGAAATCCGCTCATCACCGGAAGTTCGCAATTAAGTGATTTGACTGTGGCACAAAGGTACACCAATAGGATGCACAGAGCCTCACCGATCTTCAAAATAGCACAACATACCTGACATCGATATCCGCGGCTTGGATGGATCCAAAAACCATCTCTGCGATACCTTGTCCTTCGACATTGATCAAATGTGGCTGAAAAAGGGCTTCCGGAGCTTCGAAACGTTCAGCACCAACTCGAATAACTCTACCGTCCGGTAAAGTGTACGGCTTCACGAGTACCGTTGTTTCCAGTGCAAGTTTTTGCTCTTCTTCGACGTTGTAGGCTGTATAACACAGCTTTTCCTTCATGATTCTCACAGTCTCGAAGTCTGCGGTATGATTGAAGGCATAGCCTCGCAATAGCAGCAGTTTGATGAGATACCTGAGAAACCAAAAACAGAATGACGTATGCAAAAAAAAAAACTTTAGCTTGGAGTCCGGTACTTTCTCTTTTAGGGCCAGCCAGCCCAACTCTGGTCAATTCCCGCACATTTCAACAGAACCTCAAAAATTCAGATGTCCCTTGGCCAAATACAGTACCTCTGTACGTTAATTTTTTTTCCAGACCGTCGATGAATTCTTTTAGAAACAATGTACGGTATCAGAAGCCTCCCTATTGTAAAGACTTTCCCTCTCTAAATACTACGAATACTATGATCCAGCTCGAAACATCATTGAGTCTATTTATTTTGTAAGAATTCGATTTGAGGAGCTTCAACTGTACAGTATTTCGAATTCCACTTCCTGAAGAAGCTTCAGGTATTTTTGGCTTCACTCAACACTTCCCCCTATTCAACTAACTCGACCCATTTCTCAACCTAACCATATTCAAAAAATAACAATATTACAAGAATAATTCAACATAACATCCGTAAGATAGATAACTTGACTTGACAAAGCATGCTCCAAAAAACCTATGGAAATTCACTGAACACCACCTAACCAATATTTTTTCAAGATATCATCCATAAGACAGATGAGTATAACTTGACTTGACAAAGCATACCTTAAAAAACTTAGACAAATTCACGAAACACCACCTAACCGAATTTCACTTCTGCCAGCCCTTTACTAACCCAGTCAATTAAACCTTTCGGCATCACGAATACAGTTCACTCCATGTACACAACATTAATAAAGCACAGCCATAACAAGAAACAAATCAAAGTTCAACACACCGTGTGATATCTCTTCCTGCTATATCCATTCGCCTCGTACAATGCGGCATTGCAACTCCATCGTAGACAGGGCAAATGTGTGTCACACCATCCCCTGAGTCAATAACCACTCCAGTAAGCAATCCTTGAGCATATAAAGTCAGCACAGCCTGCATTACAAAAAAACACACACTGATTACGAGCACACATCGGATTCTGTTGCATATAAACGAGAAAATATCACAGCAGAACAATGAATTTCGAAAGAGCATTGGCACGAATGATAATATATCAAAGAGGCAAGCGCACAAGGCAAGGTTCGAGTTCAGTAACGTTCGGTAATTGAATCTTATCTTTTCAAGTCTATTTTACAAATTGACCATTCGGGCTTACGAAGATCAAATAAAGACGACGAAGCTCAGGAATTCACAATGCCTGGAGACGGCTGAACTGAAAAACGTACTTGAATAGCGATATAAACGCCTTCGAACTCGTATTTTTCGAACATGGTCTCGATCATCCTCTCACGATTTCTCATCGGATTCATAGGAGGTTCAGTGAGCATAATCTTGCATCCACGTGGATCGATGTTCATTTTGTCTGGCCCAAACGTGTAGTCCCACAACACCAACATGTCGTCCCAATCACGGACGATTCCATTTTCCATTGGGTAGCTGATCTCAAGCATCGACCTCAAGTGACTCGCCTAGAAATCGGTACATTATGATTCATTCAAATGAGATTTAATTTTGAAGTACTCACCTCTTCTCCAACCATCAAGTCCTTGACTTCTATGTCACCAATCTTTTCGCTTGCTCGAAGGATGGGGCGACCAACCATAGATGGGAAGATGTGGGTCGGGAAATTGTTACCGGCATAACCACACTTGACAAACCCGGTGCCGTTGTCGCAAACAATGACTTTATTACCAAATTGATCCATGATGAGCTTGAAAACGGTGTCTACACGACCCGGATATCAGTAGAACAAAACCTGCAAAACTAGATTGATTTGGCTTCATGATAACAAACGCCGGCATTCTCAAATGCAAATCCTGGCACCTGCACTTCTCCGTCTGATCACTAAATCAGACGATTAATTAATCGAAATATCACACAGTCAAGCTCCTTAATTGCATACCAAAAGATTCCATACGCAAGTAGTATCTAGCAAACACGAGAAACAAAGCGCTGAAACGTTCACGTCGCCTGACACCCTGCCTGCCACACCGGCTCTTCTGTCCTGTCTCAATCTCATACGTGATAATTTACCGTTAGTCCGTCAAAAACATCCTATGAAGTCAATCCTTAGCTTATATTTTACACGCCTTCTACATTGGACAATACTTTAAAAACTGTCCGAGAATTCACATTTCGCACGAGTAAACAGTTCAGTTGCGAATTGAGATCGAATTTCGGAAAACCTGAAGACGGGAATTCTCTTGCATTTCTCTGGCAGCATCCGTGTTGCACTAATGCCGCCATCTATCCATCAAGCAGCATTCCACTCGCACTTCCCTCCGATTTCGGTGGTGTAGTTTCTCGCCGGAGAAGGAAGCCACGCCAGCGAAATTCCGCGCCACTGCACCCCCGACCCCCTCACTCCCTATTCTCATCACTCTCTCCTTTACGCACACTAGTGACAGACCTGAGGGTCTGGGTTTACAGTGCACTGAGCAGTGTCACAGGAAAACTCCTATGTGCTAGGTCTAATGGTTTCTCATTACAAAGAAAACTTCATGTTTTGTCCATAAACTTTATATTTCAATTAAAATTCAAAACACTGGTTCAGTTCAATGATTCAGTTAAGCAATAGCTCATTACAGAAAAATTGTGATCTGCACTGTACAGCCCTTTATTATTTTCTGTACCTCATCAAACTTTTGATGGCCAATAAGCAAGCATTTACAATGGATGCAGGTCTTGGTGATGATGTAGCAATTCATGGATTGGATGACACTTGGCTCTTTGGATCTGGCAATGGTTTAACTTACAGGTTCGCATGATTAGTCTCAGAAGTCAAGCACATCCAAGTTTTCACTATTTGTGTTTTTAGTGATTTCTTAATCTAGCCCAGTTTTATCAACTGCACACCTGATTTCTGCTTGGAAACTCAGCTGATGCAGAAAATCAAGCTAAAAATGCTTGTTTATTTCCCAATGGATACAGTCACTGAAGGGGATATGGCAATTGCAATGGCTGCACTTATGGCAAATATAGCAAGTTATGGAATTATTTAGAATTTATCTTGCTAGCTGTGTGGAGGAATTGGCATTATTCATAACAAGTATTCAGTGGATGATGGATGTAGGAGAAAATACCTAGGAGAAAATATCCCGCAGCAGTAAATCCTGTGTGGCCCAAAATTTAGAATGCCCAAAAATCTTGCAGGGTCCAAAAATCCAGAAACATGAATTTGTATGTCCAAAATACCTCCTTTTGATAACAAAGTTGGGCAATGGTATGTAAATAATTTCTGACTTACAAACAAGTCTAAATGCAGTTTGATAGTGATATCTTATTTTCTATTTTAATATTCAATATACAGTGCATGATGAGATGGGAATATTGGAAAAATTATAAAAATTCTACAAGTTTTCAACTGTACAAGATTTTCACCCAAATTGATGCAAGTTTATCACTTCAGAAGGCAAAATTAAGCTCTGAAAATCATTGGGAAACTACACAGTTTATATACAAAAAAAATGCAGGGATGAAGGCTCCAAATGGAAAAATACCTCACTTTACTCTTGAGAAAGTGAAGGTGAGGTACATTCTATTGTGAAAGGTATTTTATAAACCTTCCAAATCCTTGGAAGGAATCAAAACCCTTTCATGTTCACAATTTCTTAATCCTTCAGATTTTTATTTCTTCCAGTTGGAAAAAAAATCCAGGGAAAATGTTTTTTTAGCACAGTACAAAGGATTTTTGTGCTTAAGGGCTTTTTAGACCCTTCAAGATTTTTAGCCCTACCAGATTTTCAGCTTCACAGGATTTCTGGGCTGCAGGATTTTTCCCTACAGGATTTCAGCATGGAGCCTGGATGGTCTATGGTTTGAATACTTATCCTCAGTGAAAATTTTGAAATTCTCCAATTTTAAAATTGTTTTCCTGCTCAAAAAATCAAAGAAAATAAAATCAAAATCCATGCTGACCACCACCTGTATGTCTATTGTGATTTCTTGGAACAGGTGGCAGCTTTCCATGAATTTTGACACCATACAAATTTTTTAAATTTCTTTCCCCCTAAAAAACAAAGAGAATGTTACAAAAAAACGGAGGTTTTAAATATGTGATGCACAAAAGAAATATGAACACATTGCTGCTGCTGTGGGGGGGGGGGGGCTTTGACAAACAAATAGATAGGGCAGTGGAATTTCATTTTCAGATGCTAAATTCGTGATTACAAATTTTTGTTGCAGATGAATAAATGCTAAAGGTTGAGTGAAAAGTGACTTGAACACTGGAAAAAAATGTTGACTCCAGCTTTAGGGTTATTGAGCTGAAGTTGAATTTTCCTCCATTCTACCTATTACCCCAGTAATATAATTTACTATATACTGTATGTAATATAATTTAAAATTTTTTAGAAGGGTTAAAACATTATAGTTGTTTTGAAAGATTTTTCCGCCCCAAGGACGAGCATTTTGTGGAAATGCCTTTGAAAAGGGTCAACCAGCAGGGACGGCACATGGGCAATTGTTCTGGCCACTGTCCGGGAGCTGGGCGGCAGTCAGATTGTGATCTCAAATGGCCTAGCAAAGGACCTGTTTTTTTTTTTTTCGCACAGTGCAGAAGATTCAACCCACAAAACAGTATACAGACAATCGCCCCGGCCAAGGGTTCACCCCAAAATCCCCTGACCTTATGCATTTTTTACAGGCTGAGCCATGCAGAATTTCGCAATTCTGTGCATAGAAGGATTAAATAAATTTTTTCAAGTGTTTAGGAGCACAAGAAATTCTCCCACGGAAAGCTTGGGAAATTCATGTAAAAGAAAAAATCCCCAGCCTCAGGAATAAAGGTGAGGCTGATAATTGGGTATACCTAAATATTCAGGGACATTGAGAAAAAATTGTGTAAGGTTGAAAACTTGCTGAGTGTTGAAAATGCGTTTAAATGTTATCTATTACCATAGTAATGTGGTAATAGATGCAGGCATTGTAAAAAAATTGATCTTGTCTGCTCAGTACAATTCTTTAGTCAAAACCTATATACAGTAAAATACTGTTATTGCTGAATGCTCTTGTCATTCTAAACCCAATTTTTGAACCCTTCTGAAGCTAATTCCTTGCTTGAAGTAATGAAATGCACAATTTAAATTAAACTTATTTTGAGCAGGCCTCAGAGGAGGCACTTGTCAAATCATCAATTGAATACAACTTTTCAAATGTATTGTCAAACCACATTTCACCCAATGGGCCCTTCCAGCCCCTGCCTGGCACCTGGGAAACCCAAGGAACATCCCATCACATTGTTTCACAAATGCATGGCAAAATAAATTTTTCTCAGATAAAGTTAGTACAGTTGACCCCCATTACACTGCCACCCCTGGTTCCTGCCAAAATTTTCCCAGAAACAAATTGTCCCAATGTTGAAGGTATGGGAAAACATCAATAAACCACCAACTGACTTCTGCCAACAATTTTCTTGGCACAGATAGGCTTTCACCTTTGATTTTTCCCTCTTTAAACTGACAAAGTTGTCCTCTTCTGCTGTGGAGCAATTTAAGTCAATTTGCATGCCAATTTTGTGCAAAAATAATTTTCGCATTATGCTCCCAGGAGATTCATGTAGAATTTATAATACTCCTAAAAATGAAGGCATTAAACTATGATTTAATTTGCAAAAACATTTGTGTATATTGTGACAAATTCATGGATTCCTTTTAATATTTTTAGAATTCCTGCTAACATTTTACTAGACTAAAACCCTACTGCTGCTCAAAACTTCTCACCATGGAAAATTTCAAAATATTGCAAACAAAATATTTTTGTGAAAAAATATGTATCTTGTCCTCAAAGGAGGGAAAGCATGGAGTGTTTAAAGGAGGGGTATTGTTTTTCATTTTGATGTCTCAGATTTTAGACTTTTGGGTGCCCTGGAATGTTGGAGGGAAAAGTTTGCATAATCACAACATTTCCTACACTGGGCTTTGAAAGGAAAAGACTTTCATTGATCAGCAGCAGGCAAAAGGAAAAATTTTTACACACAATGCAATTAAATAATCTTTTAATCTTAATGATTGCAGAATATAACCATGAAAAACTAAACCCAGTTTTGAAAATGTTCCCTGAAGAAAGATATGCTCCTGTGGAACTTCAACAGATGGTGGTGCTGGGGTGATCATTTGAATTTGGGAAAAGAAAACCAATGCTTACAACAAAGATTGAATGACAATATTGGCTTTGAATCCTATTAAACCATGTTTCCCACTTGGCATGCAATTTTTGGACTACCTTTATCAATTTATGATGCTCCAACCCATAAGCAAACTTGCTAATGCTTAATGAGCAATCTTCAAGGTCTAAATGTTGTGAAGTAAGGAATTTAAAGACACCACCATTCTTTCTTTTTATATTTAAAAACATTTCCAATGTGTTCCAATTTTCCCATGAAATACTGATGATCAAGATAGAAGGAAGATATCTGTTGCAGATGAAAGTAAAAAAAAAGTTTTTCTTGATTGAATCTCCTTTTTGGTATGCCTCTCCCATAAAACACCACCCCTGATAAACCGCCAATATCCTCCTGGACAGACATTGGTGGTTTAACAAGGTTTGCATGTTCACTTGCTACACCACTTCCCGCATAAGGGGTGCATTCCCGATTCTTGAAGTCACTCATGCACAACCTCAGGAGAGAGAGTGTTGGGTGCCGAGCGTGAGGGGATGGGGGGCACAGGGGAGAGGAGTTCTGACGGCGTGTGATCGGGCTCAGGCGAGAATGTGCCTCACCCCGATTTCTACAGTGGACGACGAGAAGTCCACTCACGGATTTCTA